TCCGGCCCCGCCCTCGAGGCCTGCTGGAGACCCAGAATCCCGGGCCTTGGGCCCCTTCCCGGTCCAGCCTTCGGGTTGGGCCACCCACAGGGGCCGCGGCCAGGTTCACCGTCCGGGCCTCTTTCTTTGCAGTCTGTCTCCGAGTAGCCAGAGCCCGTCCTTGCTGAGCCCCAGCAGCCCCTGCAGCCCCTGCAGCCCCTCCCTGGGACTGCACCCCTGGAGGTAAGTGACAGCCAGCGTAGGAGGGCTCAGACATGCCCTGGTCCCCCAAAGCCTCGGAGACTCCCCAAACCCAGCTCCCTCCCCCAGGTACTGTGGGCTGCCCTCGCCTTCTATAAATGTTCAACTGACTAATAATATTTTGTTTTCACTTAAATATAACACATGACCTGTATGTTAATATCTTCTCTACCTGGAATTATGCTGCAGTCAATCTGAATTCTATAATATACTCTCTTGCTCGGCTGGCCAGAAAGCTCCTCCCTCTGAATGTACACACACACACACACACACACACACACACACACACAGTTAAGAGTTCACCATTACAGCCCCAACCACTGAACTTAACCAGGTAAAGAGGTGTAGGCAGAAAAAAACCAGCTTGACCGAGCAGCAGCCTGAGTTCCCTCCTCAACCCTTGGAGGGAGGCACCTTCCTGACCTGTTTCCCACTGAGGAAATGTAGGCTCGAGAGGAAACACCAGTTCTCTTGGTCCAGTGTGTGTGGGTGCGAAGCCGCAGGGCCAGCGTGGCCACCAGAGTCTGTCAAGGGTTTGAGCCACCCTCTGTGACTGATGGGGCTCTGGGTCTTGCCCAGGACAGGACGGAATACCAGGGTGATCATGGGCTCCTTGTACAGCTCAGGGTGGGGACCAATGTGAGTGTTGGTGTCTAGAATTTGGTGGCCCATGGGTCCTTTGCACCTTAGCGTGAATGTGCTCAGGCTCAGAGCCCGTCCTTGCTGAGCCCCAGCAGCCCCTGCAGCCCCTGCAGCCCCTCCCTGGGACTGCACCCCTGGAGGTAAGTGACAGCCAGCAGGGTAGGGCTCAGACATGCCCTGGTCCCCCAAAGCCTCGGAGACTCCCCAAACCCAGCTCCCTCCCCCAGGTACTGTGGGCTGCTGACCTCGCCTTCCGGGCCTCAGTTTACCCCGACATAAAATGGCGCGGTGAGCCACACTGGGGTGCTGATGGGGAAATTCCATTTTCAGCCATAGCCAGCAGGTCCCCTGTCCGACAGGTGGCCAAGGTGAGGCCAGAACTTGAGCTGTTGCCCAAGGTCCTGAGACAGGTGCTGGGTTCCCAGCCTGCTCAGAACCCTCCCTGCTGAATGGGCCTGGCTCCCAGGGTGACCTCAGGGATCCTCCCCACAACCAGCTCGGCTGGCCAGAAAGCTCCTCCCTCTGAATGTACACACACACACACACACACACACACACACACACACACACGGTTAAGAGTTCACCATTACAGCCCCAACCACTGAACTTAACCAGGTAAAGAGGTGTAGGCAGAAAAAAACCAGCTTGACCGAGCAGCAGCCTGAGTTCCCTCCTCAACCCTTGGAGGGAGGCACCTTCCTGACCTGTTTCCCACTGAGGAAACGTAGGCTCGAGAGGAAACACCAGTTCTCTTGGTCCAGTGTGTGTGGGTGCGAAGCCGCAGGGCCAGCGTGGCCACCAGAGTCTGTCAAGGGTTTGAGCCACCCTCTGTGACTGATGGGGCTCTGGGTCTTGCCCAGGACAGGACGGAATACCAGGGTGATCACGGGCTCCTTGTACAGCTCAGGATGGGGACCGATGTGTCAGTGGCATCTAGAATTTGGTGGCCCATCGGTTTGCACCTTAAAAGTTCACTATCTTGACTGTGGTGATGGCTTCACAGGTATATACATTTGTCAAAACTTAATCAAATTACACACTTTAAATACATGCAGTTTATCTTACATCATTTATGTCAGTTATTCCTCAAAAAAGTTTTTTTTTTTTTAAAGCACATACCTGGGTTGCTGGTTTGATCCTTTCGGGGCATGTACAGAAGGCAACCAATCGATGTTTCTCTTATCACATCAATATTTCTTTCTCTTTCTCACTCCCTCTCCCCTCCCCGCCTCTATCCCCCTTACTCTTTACTCTTTCTCTAAAGCAGCGGTTCTCAACCTGTGGGTCGCGACCCCTTTGGTGTTCGAACGACCCTTTCACAGGGGTCGCCTAAGACCATCCTGCATATCAGGTATTTACATTACGATTCATAACAGTAGCAACATTACAGTTATGAAGTAGCAACGAAAATAATTTTATGGTTGGGTCACAACATGAGGAACTGTATTTAAAGGGCCAGAAGGTTGAGAACCACTGCACTAGGCAGAGGGAATTGCATGTGCAAAGGTCCTGGGGCAGAACTGAGATTTTTAAAGCCTCTGTGGCTGCCTTAAGGGGAAGAAAGGTCTTCTGGGACAGAGGACAGGAATGGAGATGGCAGAGGCAGGGAGGTGGCTAGGTCAACATCTGGGTAGGTGATGGTGGCTCTGGACCATTTCGGGTGTCCAGAGGCAGGGACTGCTGTAGCCCCCCATTTAGCAAAGGAGGACATTCAGGATCTCAGAGGCATAGGACCTCAGATTATGTTGTCCAGGGGCACCTGGGAGACAGTGTTAGAGACCAGCCAGTTTTAGCTGGAGGAAATGGAGGCAGAGCCTGGGGCGTGTGCTTAAGTCACGGGACTGCCTCACTCGCCACCAGGGGGCAGCAGATCCTCATTGCCTTGGGCCAGGCAAGGAAATGGGTCTTTGCCTCTAAACACCCTAGAAACAGGCCCCCATTTGTCCCCTCAGCCTCAGGGGCTCTTGGGTCTGGCCCCTTTGATGCCCTTGCCTCCTCCTCGTTCATCTCCTCATCACTCACCCTGCTCTAGCCAAGCAGCTTCCTGAACTTTCCTGAAAGGCCAGCATGTGAGCTAGGACAGCCTCAGGGCGTTGGCACTCGCTGTCCTTTCTGCCCAGAGCTTTATTTTCTCCATTTCCTCTTTTCTTCGTTTTTCAAGTATCCATCAAGCCTACAGATAAGGAAGCCTTCCTTGAACACCCCTACTTAAGGGTGCCCAAGCCCTGGTTACAGCCATTATACCCATCTATTTTTCTCATTCAGATCCCATCATGGGTGTGACTTCCATGTTTTCTTGTGTGACTGTTGGGCTATTTTTCTCTCCCAGAGGTCTGGGAGCAGCCTTGAGGGCCAGACCTGGATCTGTCCTGGCCATCCTCTACCTTCAGGGCAAGCCAGGTATACACCAGGTGCTCAGCTAATGCTTGTGGCATGGACAAAAGGGAAGCAATTGGGAGGGCACTGCCTGTGGTGGTGGTGGTGGTGGTAAGACGAGTTAAAGAAGGTCCTGAGTTGGGCCCTCACAGACAAGGGGGCAACAGAGGCTGTTCCAGGCAGGAACAGCATCGTCGGAGGAGTGTTGTCTCTGGGGCCCTGAATGCCAAGGATAGAAAGAATTTGGATTTTCTACCCAAGGTACTTGGAAGCCACACAGAGAATGGGACTGAGAGGGGTGAGGACAGCTCATGGACAGGTGGGAAGGGCTACCCTCCTCTTGCCCGAGACAGCTCCTGCTCCCAATGGCTTGGTGTGGTAACCTGGAGAGCATTCCTGGGGGGATACCCAACAGATAGCTGGACAAGGTGGGCCACTGAGGGTGCCATGGACATGAGGGGACAGGAGGGGGAGCCTGAGAAAGACTAGAGAAGAAAAATCAGTAGCAAGAGAGACGAGCAGGTTAGGGCTACACACTAGTGCCTTCTGTGTGCCTGCCCCCTGTACCTCAGTCTCCCTTCGCAGACATGTGATCTGGGTGGCAGCGTCAGCCCCGGGCCAGTTACCCAAGTGTCCTGTTGCCTGTGAAGGGGCCGCCCTCGGTGACGCTGACCCTGACTTACTGGGGCCGTCACCAGAGGAGGAAGCATTCATTTACTGCCTACTGTGTTAGACATGGCTCCTTCCATAGTGAACGCGACTTACTGTACCCCCCGCCGGGTAACAGTCACTTTCTGTGCTTCCAATTCTTTCCATTTTCACGAGGGATATGTGTAGATGGGGAAACAGAGGCCTGGAAGTTAGCCTGAAGCTACATTTATTTTTTTTTAATATATTTTATTGATTTTTCACAGAGAGGAAGGGAGAGAGATAGAGAGCCAGAAACATCCATGAGAGAGAAACATCGATCAGCTGCCTCCTGCACATCTCCCACCGGGGATGTGCCCGCAACCCAGGTACATGCCCTTGGCGGGAATCCAACCCGGGACCTTTCAGTCCACAGGCGGAGGCTCCATCCACTGAGCCAAACCGGTTTCGGCGCCTGAGGCTACATTTACATATAATTTGCATAATCATCTTGTCAGCCTGTTTTCCTCCCATTTTATAGTTGAAAAGACTGAGACTTGCAAAATTACATCAAGCATTACATTCCTGGGTGTAGGCAGGCTGCTGGTCTTTTCTGTCGCACAGACAGGCAGAGAGCATAGCGTGTCAGAGGCCCTGACTCAGTTCGCTAAACAATCCCTCTGTGCCAGTCCAGTACCGGGAGATGCTGGAAACCGAGGAGCCCAAGCCCGGGGAAGACAAAGGCCGGGAGACATAAGGGCAGGCTTCCCGGAGGAGGGGACGCTGGATTTTGCCAGACACGAAGGGTATTCCAAAGAGTGGAGCCAGCGAGGGCGTGGTAGCATGAGCCCGGCCTGGCCGCTGGATGGGCCCTGAGTGTCGCACGAGCTGGAGGGGTTCGCGCCGCCGGAGAGAAGGACAGGGAGGGCCGTGATCAGATTAACATTTTATGGGCGAGGAGCCGTGTTCCAAGGCCCAGG